ACAGCCTCCCAAGAGCTGGTATTACAGGTATGTGCCACCACGTCCAGTCTCAATTGCCATCTCGGTGGGGGGGGCCGGGGGGGGCACGGCAGGCCCCGGGATCAAACCCCCAGCCCCTGTGCCTGCTTGCAGGGGCTTTAATCCACTGAGCTGTTTGGCCAGCCCTGCCTGATGCTTTTAACTGGACTACAGACATTGTGAATTTGACTTTTTTGGGTTCTTGGTATTTCTGTATGAGTGTGCCTGGGATTCCGCCTCTATAAGTGACAGTGATGACCCATGGTCATAGGTTTGAGAGCAGCACAGCGGCAGAAAGAGGCTTTTACCAAGGAGGGCTGCAGGTCTCTTCTAGTAGCGGTGCAGCATTCCCACTTTGAATGGTCTGTCATTCAAACATCCCAGCTGCTGACGCCTCAGGCCACTTTCCCTGTGGGGCCTGCCATAGGCAGTTGGAGGAACAGCGCTGTTGGGTCGTCACTGCCACTGTCACAGTCTTGTAGAGGCTGGATCCCAGGCACACTCATTCCAGACTGTACTGAGGGGACACAGCCCAACCACCTGCATCAGGGCTTCACAGCAGATATATCAAGAACAATCGTAATTATTCCTGATCTTTGGGGATGCAATTAAGTGATTTGGAAATAGGCTGAACTTATCTAGCCATGTTCTTAAGATCTTTTACTGGGAACCAGAACAGAATTTAGCATAGGACTCACTCCCATGGAGGCTGGACCATCTGACTCCAATACCTCCTCCCCTCTGAAGTGGGAGAGCCTGCAGCCTGGCTGGAGGGAGCCGCCAGCAGGATCCCCAGCCCCACATGAACACAGAGTGCTCCTCTCTTAGACCTCTCGGCTCCTTCTGCCGCTGACTATGGGCGGCGTCTTCATAACCAAATGCTGAGCAGGTCTCAATTAAACACAGGAGAGGACCAATCCATATGGCCTGAGTCCTTCCTGTAAGACTTCTGCCTTTCTGGTTCTCAGTCCTATAAAATCTCTGACTTGGCCTCCCCCAGACTCTTAGGTCTGCTGCCTGCACCCAGAGGGCGCCAGGCTCCCCCTGGGTTCCTTCCCACTGTGCTCCAGGCACTCTCCAGGGCAGGGAGCCGGGGCGTGGAGACTCCCTCATTTCTCACTCCCAAGAATCACTCCGACTGCTCTCCAGGGTCCTGAAGCGGTGTTAGTTGGGCTTGGCAAGTGCGCCTGCAGTGCCAGCGCTCCAGCAGGCTGAGCCAGGGAGACCACAAATTCCAGCCCCACCTGAGTAATTCAGCAACTTAATGAGACTCTGTCTTGAAACGAAAATTGGGGGTAGGTGTCTGGGAATGAAGCTCAGTGTGAAGGTCCAAGGCTCCCACTCCAACACCAAAAACAAACAACCCCCCTAATGGCTTCCCACGTTGTATTATTTCTTGTTTTAGTCCAGGGTTCATTCTAGTCTGCACACTATGTCTTGTCTGAATGCAGAAGTCCCTCCTGGCTAAAGTGATTATTAAATAATTGAACGCTATGAAATAATTTAATGCATACAATTGCGCCTGGCATGCTGAAGTGCTTAATAGACGTTGGCTGCTGTTGCCACTGTGGGTGGTGGGATGCCAACAGTACAAGTGAGGCAGGACGGGGGGGGGGGAGCATAGGCGAAGGGTCCCAAGTGGGATTTCCCCCAATATGCGCTCCCCTGCAAGGAATTCACTTCAGGTGACCGTTCAGCATATTTTTCCATCACCCCTGGAGACTGCTCCCCTGGGGATCCCGGAGCACTGCAATGATCTGGCAGCCCTCACAGTGCAGTCCTGCACACAGAAAAGCAACCAAGCCATGTGTCAGAGCAGCCACCAGGCCATGAGAGCTGCCGCCCTACGGGCGCCTGACCTGCAAGCACCTGCCAGAGCGCAGTGGCCCACCGAAGGGCGGCCTGTCATTCAAAGGTCCCAACTGCTGATGCCTCAGGCCACTTTACCTGTGGGGCCTGCAACAGGCAGCTGGGGGAACAGCGCTGCGACTGGAAGAGACCCACAGCCCTCCTTGGTAAAAGCCTCTTCCTGCTGCTGTGCTGCTCTCAAACCACAGGCCGTCACTGTCACTGTCACGGTCTTGTAGAGGCGGGATCCCAGGCACACTCATTCCAGACTGTGCCGCGGGGACACAGCCCAACACCTGCATCAGGGCAGCACAGCAGTGACTCAGAACAGAGAGAGCCACAGCCCACATGCTGGACCCACTACCAAGACCTGGTTGCCTCAGTGTCCCTGTCTGTAAAGTGGGAACACTGACTGCTCCCATTTCTTGTGGAAACTGGAAGGGTTTAAGCACACGTGGAATAAGGCAGGCTGGTGTGGTGGCCAGGGGGCAGGCAGCAATGTGACCCTGAGTTACTTCACTCTCTGTGCCCCAAATTCTTTATCTGTGGAATGCGAGGGGCTGTGGGTGGCCCTGCATGTCCCGTGGGGTGCAGCCGGGGCCAGCTGCTCTTCGTCCCTCGCCTGCTCGGCCTGCTCACTGCAGTTCTCTGTTCTCTGCATTTGTTCCTGAATGCACGCTTGGAAGCTTCCCAGGTTCAAGGTGCCTACCGTGCCAGCAGTGGTGTGCCGAGCACGTTGGGGCGGAGAATCTGAAAGGAGCCCAGCCCGGAGACACAGCCTGCGTGACACTCGCTGCCCACCTGCGTGTCAGCCAGCTCTGTGGGCCCAGGACAGCAGCATTCCCACAGCAGGCTGTCACCATGAAGACCACCCACACAGAGTCTGAGATGGCTTCTATCTCTGCCCTGGTGAGCAATGACCAAGCTGTACCTCGGGCCACACACACAGGACACAGATGTCAGTGTGACAGAAGGGACGCCAGCCACGTGGGATGAGGAAGCTTCAGTACAAGCTGCTGTGGACCGCCGGCTGGGAGTCACCTTTGTAAGCCTCGAGGGAACCTGGAAACACCATTCGTACAGCCATATGGTGGGAACCACCAGCAAGATGCCAGGCATCTGACAGGATTTCGATAAGCCTAGAAAGGGCTGGGTCCTCGTGTTCAGATGTCACTCTAACACAGACGACCTTGCAAGTCTGGGAGTTACGACAGAGACCTACTACATGCTGGCTCTTCGGCAGGGCCTGGGAGCGGCCAGCCTCTAAAGGACCAAGGAAGACAATAGAAAGAACGAGATTGAGGCGTTATCAGTAGTGACAGAGGACTGTCATTAAGATGAACAAACTGAAAGAAATTCAGACAGAAAGGGAGTCAGGAGAGATACAGAACATCAAAAATTTCCGAATGACAAATCCCAAACAGAACAAAAGCCAAGAGAAAAAAAGGAAAGAAGAAAGTGATATTTTATACTTGCCACCAAGAAAATCAACTGTAGATGGAAAAAAAGATAAGTTCCCCACAGCTACAGATAGGAAGATATTTATCTCCTATTAAAATGAGTATTTTAGACAAAAAGGGAGCTGGGTCAGATCTGCTCTATAGGAACAGAATGTTCCTGTTACACAGAGAATCGATTGGAAGGAAGAGGGAGAAAAGGAGCCTGCTGCACATAACAAGGCCAAAATGGTGCTGCCCATTGGTGGGATGGGAGAAAGACAAAGAGAAAATCTCTCCAGGAGGCTGAGGCAGGAAGAAAACACATTTGAATGTGTTTTCTTCCTGCCTCAACTTGGCACAGAAGGAGAAGGGCTGGGCATGGAGCTCAGTGCAAAGGCCCTGGGTTTGATCCCTAGTAGGAGAGATGAAATGAAGGAAGGAGGGAGGGAGTGGGTAAGCAGAGAAGCATAGGGCAGAGGAGCTGGATGGGGCTGGGTGGCCAAGGATGCTGAGGCCCACTGGAGCTGCGGGGTGGGGACAGAGCCACGTGCACCTGGTGCTTCCAGTCGGCCACCACTGTGATGTCACTTGATCAGCCAGCCACTCCTTCCCACCTGCTCCTCAGCCTGGCACAGGACAGCATCCCCACAGGGCCCAGGCTCCTCTGGGCCAGCTCTGCATCCCCCCAACCTGCTTCACAGGGGAGCGCACTGGAGCAGGTGCGAGAGGAAAGGCCGCTGGGCCAAGCCAACCTGCAGCTATTTCCTGACCTACCCCTTTCCTTCCCTCTGGGTGACAAATGGGGGCATAGCTCTTCTCACACTTCCAGTGGCAGTTCCAATTCAGTTCTGTGCCCCCAGGAGCAGGCCGCGCACCCCTGGGGTCCCCAGTGATGTGGGCAGCAAATGAGCCAGTCTGTGGCATGAGCACATCTGGACCTCCCGGGATTTTTGTCTTGTGGTTCAGGCCAAACCTTCAGGGGGGAGAAAACCAGGCCCTCCGCACACTGGTGCAGGGAACACACCTCCCCTCCCCTGCCTCATCTGTGTCAAGTCCTCAGTTTGATGCAGAGCCAGGTAGGAGCAGGCATATGACTTGGATCCCGTAAGACAGCGGTTCCCAACACTGCTGGCACTAGAGATGCGTTCCACAAACAATCATGTTTCCACTGGCGGGGAGTGGTGGTTCTGGGTTTATTCAAAGGAGCCTACAACCCGGATCCTGCACACGTGCACCCATGGCAGGGCTTGTGCTCCCAGGAGAGCGAGAATTGAAGCTGTGCGGCTCAGGTCCCAGCAGCTTGTGGGTCCGGGCCTGGGCTTGGGACCCCTGCCTTAAGACAGCAAATCCTCAACACACCTGAAAGGACCACAACTGCCCAGAGCTAATCCCCAGACTCCTCACTGCATTTGTGTTCCAAGAGATACACTTATTTAAAAATATAAAGTTTAAATTTTTAAAAAATGATTAGGCGCAGGACAGAGGCGGGACCCTAAGTAGCCCTGACAAGCACAGCATGAGCACCTACTCTGGGAACATACCCATCTGACAGAGAAAGAGGTGGGGAGGGTGGGGCGGCCAACCTGGAGGGTCACAGGTTTCGGGGTACAGCGCTTGGGCAGCTCTGTGTACCTGGGCACAGTCCCTGCCCACCCTGCTGGGTGCAGAGGAGCCCCATGATGCACAGGCACCCACCTTTTCTGCCAGGTCCGCAGGGGGCTGCTCCCCGAGGAGGCGGATCTTGTCTTCGGTGCACTTCCTCATGAGGTCCAGCTTGCTTTTACTCTTGGACCTCGGCTTCCTGGCCTTGGACTGCGGGCGGAGAGGGCCAGAGCACACACTGGTGAGAAGGGGGCACCACAGGGCACACAGCCCACGGACCACCCGAGGCTAAGGCTCACCGAGCTACAGAGCTCGGCCTCAGCTGTGGAGAGCCGTGGATCCTCCCAGGACGAGGTGTTTTGGGACCTTGGGACAAAGAGTGGCTGGGAAGGTTATTTTAGCAGGATGCTCAGGGAAGTCTTCTCCGTGGGGGTGACAGAGTGGAGCTTTGGAAAGATGACAGATACTGCCGATGGCAGGGGAAGCAGCAGGTTCAAAAGCGCAGCCCCAGGACAGTGCCTGGAGCAGAACCTAGCCCTGGAGCTGCATGTGGCTCCCCAGAGAAGTTTCTTCGGGGAACAGGGTGCCACTCCAGGAAGGCACAGGGCCAAGTATGGCAGGGTCCGGGTCAGATCCGGTCCGGACCCACCTGTAGGGGCCTGGAGGACATCTGCAGGCCAGGACCAGGTGCACTGAGGCACATCACGGGAGCTCGCTAAGGCACAGCTGTCATCCTTCCAGCACGAGAGGCACCCCGAATCAGTCACTGGCTGTGGTTTCGGGGGGTATAGAAGGAAGGGTAACATTTCAGGCAGGGGACCGTGAGGCTGTGACCTGAGTGCATCTGGCTGACACAGCTACCCGGGTGAGGGCATCGGGACAAGACCCCAGAAGTAGGAGCCAGACCTGCCAGCCAGGACAAGGGGCTGCAGGGACAGCCAGACCTTACCACAGCTGCAGAGGAGAGAATGGGGGAGAGGGAGAGGAGCGCTCTGGGGGCTGGGACACAGGACCCCAGGAGATCAGGCACTGGGGACGCCGCAAGGCCCCTCTCCTACCTGCAGCTCAGGGGCAGCCAGTGCCTGGTCCAGCTTCAGGAACTCTGCTTCCCACCAAGCAGTGTGGAACTGATGCAGCAGGACTCGGGCCCGCACCTTGGGTAGAGCCAAGCTCCTGTCCATCTGGGCGAAGCAGCAGTGGACCTCCTGCCTTGTTGCCAGCAGCTCCTCCTCAGACAGCGAGAAAGCGGCACCACAGAGCTTCCTGGGAAGGACAGCAATGGTTTCCATCAGAGGAATCCTGCGCTGTGCTGGTCTAGGGTGGCGAAGCAGGACCTTCAAGTTCTTAAGCTAAGTCCCTGTCCAGACAGACAAGCATCTACCACCTGGCTGGGTTTGGCTTCACAGGGCGTGTCGCACCTGTTGTACACTGTGCTGGACACGTCTCCTCAGAGCTGGGGCGAGAGTGGAGAGAGATGAGCCCGAGAGGTCTCGGAGAAGCGGTGGGCGTTCCTGCATTGATGAGCTTGAGGTGACCCAGCCTTACTTTAGTGACACAACAGACATGAGGCAGCGCACCCAGCCCAGGGAGCAGCACTCGCCTCAGCTCAGGCCAGCAAAGGGGGCTCTTGCTTTTGGGGAAGCCTGAGCTGCGTCCCTCAAGTCTACCCCTGCTCCCCATGAATGTGGCCTTATGTGGCAGGAGTGTCTTTCCAGCTCCAATGACGGTACTAAGACAAGGTCACCCTAGGGCTGAGCAAATCCCTTGTCTTGTACGACAGGTGTCCTTCCCTGACGAGAAGGCACACGCCTGCCTAGCAAAAAGGCCATGTGCCCCCCAAGGCCGAGATCAGAGTGACAGGTTTCTCAGCCAGGAGGTGCCTACACTGCAGAAGCCAGGAGCGGTGCGGGCAGATGCCCCTCCCAAGCAGCTGCCCCCGGACTCCTGGCCGCCAGCACCGTGAGCAAATGCATTTCTGGGGTTCACACCACCCAGCCTGCAGTGCTGGTTATGGTGGGCCTGGGAAACAGAGACACCGATCTCTGTCACCTCCAAACCTACCCCAACCCAGCCATCGGCTTACACTGTCCCCTCCTCCTTCCTGGCGTGGCCCACTCCCCACTCCAAGGGACAGCAGGCCCACACACTCAGGTCCATTCTGAACAGCAGGGTGGGCGGGACTGGACTCTGGGACAGGGTTTCCCCCTTGGCTCCAGAACAGGCAATGTAGAGAGCGCGCTGTCCTCTGTCTCTCCCTTTAGAGAGGTGTGCTCGTGCATTCACTCAGCAAATAAGCTCTGGACACAGGCACAGATGACCCGGTTACTCTGCCAACAAGGATGCTCTGCGAATGCTCCAACTCCAGGAACAGTCACGAACAACGGCCCGTGAGCAGCTAGGGCAAGGCTCACCACACCCAAGCCTCAGGAGGGCCTCAGGGCTGCGGCTCAGCTGGGGGCGATGCAGGCTTCCCGCTGAACATGGTCTGAAGGCCCAAAGGCCACAGGGCTGCACACCCTGTCCTGGGGATCCTTGCTCCAAGGGGCCCTAATTTTTAAAGCTTCTCTGGAAACTGCAGCCTCCCTTTGCACCTTGCCTCATGGATGGTTACGTGGATTCTAAGCCGAAACAGCTCTGAAGTGCAGGTAATTGATCTTCCTGCCCACCTTCTCCCTCAGGGATGGCGAAACTTTCAGAGCTGTCAATGACACAAACAGCCTGCCGCGGCATACGTGTCGCAGGCTCACCACTACTATTCCAGCAGAACAGCCCTGGGGCTTGCCTAGTCCACGGCCACGCAGGCTCTAAGAGAACGCAGAAGATCCCGGGGGCAGGACCTTTGTCTTGACAGAGTTTAAAATCAGAGCAGGAATTTCTGCCCCATAAAGCATCGCTCCTTCTCAATGTCTGTGTTAGCTGCCCAGGATTCTATAGCCCCTCCTGATTACCACTGGGAAGGTTCTAGAAATGCACTGCAAAACTCTGGTGCAAAGGCATTTTTACACAAAGCCTCAGAAATAAAAGCTGCGATCCTTTGTGCTCTTAGGCAAAACACAGGAGTAGCTCATATTGCCGGTGCTGCGGGCTGACCCTCTTTAATCCCGAGAAAAATCAGAAGTAGTTTCTGACAGCCAGGTGAGAGTTCTCTTTTGCTCGCAGAAGGGCCAGCTCAGCTGCTGTGGCTTTAGCAATGCCGCCTGCAAAGCAGATCCAAATGAAGCTGAAGAAAACAATGGCTCGGTAATGGGAGCGTCAAACTGAACTCAGACACGACAAACAGTCCAAAGCTAACCAGAACAGGTAAAGATCTTGGGTTGAACGTAGAGTGAGCTGAGTAGCTACTGTGCAGACAGGTGGGCCACGAGGTCTCTTGTTTCTCTTGGTGAAACAGCAGTAAGTAAGCGAGGCTCGGAAATGAAGGAGGCCAGAGGCACAAGAGCAAGATGGGCAGAAGGCAGCGGGCACTCAACACAGATCAAGGTATCGTCACTCTCCACAGCACACGGGGCCCTGCTCTCCTGGCCTTGGGCGGTGCGGAGCCTAGGAAGACAGCTGTGCTGGAAGGCCGGGGCTGGCATCACGGCGCCTGCAAGCCCCTGGACCTTGGGCCTGGCAGAAAGGCGCCGTGCCAGCAGCACAGAGCCAAGGTGCCCGGACAGCCCAGGCTCTTCCAGGAAGCTTGTCTACCCGTTTAGCCCGCCTGGTAATTTCACGCAGTGCTGAAAGCAGCCCAGAGGACTCTGTGTCATCCCTACTTTATGGACTAGGAAGACGAGGCTCTGAGAGATGAGATCCAACCGTGTCCCCACAGTCACACAGCAGGTGCTGTGCTCAGATGTGAATCCCTGTCTTCCATCTACATGGCCCTGTCTCAGTCCTCCTCTGGGGCTCCTGCCATTTCCATGCTGATGAGCCGGCCCCAGACAAGCACCTGATGCTTCCTTGGTCTGCATGACACACTAAGTCCCACTTCCTGGACCAAGCCAAGCCTCGTCTGAGCCCCTGCCCAAATCTGAATCCAGCTTGTGCCACTGTCTCTGAGTGGGATGGGCCGTGATGGTTCGTACCTCGATGTCCCCTGAAAACCTCATGCAATCACAGGTCAGGACCTTTGGTGACGGGGCTCATAGCCAACCTGCCCTGAGGAGGTAGGAAGCAGCACGTTGCCACAGGTGTGACCCCAAAGGTCCTCTCTCCCTTCCCACCTCCTCCCTTCTCTCTCTGCTTCCTGGACGCTGGGAGGGGAACAGATGTCAGGCTGAAACTGTGAGTCAGAATAAACTCTGCTCCTTGAGGCTGGGGATCTCAGTGAGGAGGACGCAACTAAGATGCACTCTGTGATGTGCTGCTTAGGCATGGAAGTCGCTGCGAGGCTCTTGGGTCAATGCATTGAGGATGAAATATAATGTCCCAAATAATGAGGTGGTGAATGAAAGGGCCAGGTGAGAAGAGGGTGTAGTGCGGCGTGTGAGCTGAGCCAGCAGGTCGCATGCAGCCTGGACACTGGGTGGGACAGGAGATCCTGGGACGGCCTCCTTGAGAGGCCCCTTTCCTCCTGGAAGGCTGTTCCCAGATGACACTTCCTGTGGCAGTGGCTAGATGCAGTTCTTGCTTCTACCTGGGTAGTGGCTTCCAGAGCCCCACCAGCCCACGGGGTCATTCAGACCCACTGGGGCACTCCCCGGGGAAGCCAGCCACCCCTCCTGCTGCTGCACAGCCCTGGCCCCAGCCTGCTGTCCACACCTTCACTCTGTATGGTCCTTGCAGGGTGCAAGCTTGCATGACCAGCAAACATGGGGAATCTCATGCATCCAAAGTGAGGGTCCTGTACTCAGCCACCCGTCTCCACAAGGCCCCCTGCCCAGGGGTGCAGCAGGGCCACTCACGTGAAGACTATGTGCTCCCAGCGCCTCAGCTCTGCCTGCTCCTCTGTGGCAGCCTCTGGGGCGTCGTCCCGCAGCCTCTGCCTCACACCCTGCACACCCTCCTGGCCCTGCGCCCGCTCCTCAGCCTCCAGCTGCTCCGTCCGGGCTGCCAGCTCGCGGGCCTGCTCCTCCAGGACCTGCTGCAGGAAGAGCCAGGGCACGCCGCGCTTGAGCAGCTCCTGGGTCATCGCCGAGCTCTGCAGGCGCCTCAGCTCCTCGGTGGCCTTCTCAGTCAGCAGGAGGGTCAGGGCGCGGACTTGGTCCAGGGCAGCCTGGTCCAGGCTCTCCTGCAACTCCTCCAGGGCGGCGCTGTGCTCGGCCACCATGCTCCTCCACTGGCGCAGGTACTGGCCGGCGTCCTCAGCGGCTCGGAATGCCTCCACTGTGGACAGCTGCTCTTTCCGCTGCTCCCGGTGCTGCGGGAATTCAGAAAAGGACAATTACTTGGGCAGCGGGAAACTTCAGAAATTTGGCATGGAAGGTTTTGTAAGCTTTCCCCGAACGAGCTCATGTTTAGAGAATCATCCTTAAGTAAGTCACACCATGAAACAAGAAGATTCTAAATTCAATCCCAGTCTGGCCTGAGCAATTTAGTAATCTAGTGAGACCCTACCTCAAAAGTTAAAAATAATTTTTTAAAAAAGCTGAGAATGCAGCTCAGTGCAAAAGTCCTGGCCTCTGCTCAAGCCCCAGTGCTATCAGAAATTTAAAAAAAAAATCTGCAAAACAATTTAAAAGAAATATGGTAAAATGTCCACGTTTGAGGTGCAAGAAGCATGCACCTGTTGGGTGGTGAAGTCCAGGAGTGGCCTCCTGCCTCCACCATTCACACAGTGAGCAGCCCTAAGCATGTGCCTCACCTGCTTGGACCGCGGCTTCCTAATCTGCAAAGCAGGGCTCGTCAGGACCAGCATCTCAGAGCACATGTGGGAAGCCCACAAGCCGCTCACTGAGTGCACCACTCTTACAGCTGGCAGAGGGCACGGCCACCCGCGTCTGCTACGATTACCGCTCCGCGCCAGGCTTGGTCACAGCAAACTGTGCTGCTGCATGGGGCAAAAGCAAGCCTGGGATGCAGGTGAGGAAACACCTCCTGCTAAGGGAAAAGTCAACAAGACCTGGAGGACCAGCGCTTACCTTAATCAAGTTAAGAAAGGGTGGGCGCAGATACTCCTGGGAGAAAGAGCACCAGATGCGCAAAGGCTCCACAGTGGAGAAACCTGGCACACACAGACATACGTAGTGGTGTCGTTTCTAACAGTGGCCCCAGAGACTGGGACCTAGTTCCCAAGAACACAAGACCATCTTCCTTTTATTCATGGGTCCTGCTAACCTACGTGTCGATTCACTCATTATCGAAATATTTATCGAGACAATTATTTATTGACTATGAGTGTCAGGAGCATCCTCAGAACTGAGGCACGGGGCTGGTGAGATGGCTCAGTGGTCTAAAGCACCTACTTAGAACAAGCTTAGCAAAGCACAAGGGACCGCGGTTCAATCCCCCAGCACATGCCAGCCAGCCCGCCCCCTGGTGGGCTGAGCTGGTCACACACACAAATTAATAAATAAATAAATATTAAAAAAAAAATAAGTGAAACCACCCCTTTAAAAAAAAAAAAAAAAAAAGAACTGAGGCACAACATAAATTTTTGGGTTCATGAAACCATATGCTCACTCTGGGCCACTTACAATATTATCAAAAAGAACTGTGAGGAATAGTATTCGCCAAAGGTTGCCAGAATCTCTTGTAAGAGCTGGGGTCTGTCTCTCCCAGGCTGGATCATCAAGGATACGTGGGCCTGGGTCGCACTGTTCTGAGTCCTCAGCCAGGGGCTCAGAGAGGAAAGAGGTGGCACTCAGCATGGGGAATGTGTCCACTATCAGGGTCAGCACCGTGGCTTCCTGGCAGGCTCAAACATGGTAACAGAAGTAGTTTCTACCGATAGAAGTTAGCCTATCTCTCTCTTCTCCCTTGTGACTGATGCCAGAAAACGGGTCCGTGCAAGGAGGCTGAAGGGCTCCAGCTAGCTACCAAGGTATCCGCTGTGAGCCACACATCCTCCAAACCTGACTCAGCAGCTCCAGCCTGACTCAGCATCCTCTGTCCTGACTCAGCAGCTCCAGCCCGACCGCGAGCCAGAGTCTGCACCTGCCTCCCCCGCTCCTGCAACTCCATAACCGCTGCTCGCACCAAGTCACAAATCTGACATTGCTTTCGCTCCTCCAAGGCTTCTCTGCTCCCTGCCATCCTCTGGGGAAGGGTGAGCCCTCAGCCCAGCATGCTGGGCCCCACTGCCTCAGGGAAGCCTCCCGGCTCCTCCCTTGCCCCTCCCTTGCCCCTTCCTCACCCCTGCGCACGCTCCAGCCTCATGGGCTCAGAGCTCGGGACGCAGCAGTGCCCTGGGCTTCACGCCATGACTATGAGCCAGATGCCCCCTGCGCCCTGGTGAGCGTCTGGTCCTCGGATTTCGCACCTGCTCTGGCAAACCTTCCCCGGCAAGACTTTCTCCCTGCACCTCGAGAGCACGCTGCACATGGCAAGGGCTCAGCACAGGACGGCGCGGTCGCTTGCTGGTCTCTCCTTGCAGCTGGCTCAGCAGGTTCCAGTCAAGCACAAGGCTTGGCTCTGAGGCAGAAAGACCTGGGCTCTGGGGCCGAGAGATAGCTCAGTGGCTCACGTGCCTGCCTGGCAAGTGCAAGGCCCTGAGTTCAATCCCTGGTTCCAGGAAATTTAAAAAACCAGAACGACCTGGGCTCAAATCCCAAGTTGGTCAAGTAGTGGATATTTGACCTTGAGCACGTTGCTCCCATCCCCTAAGTCTCATTGTCTTCACTGTTTCTTTTCTCTCAGTTGGGTGATGTGGGGAGTAAAATAAGTATCGAATATAAGCCACCCAGCACTGAGGTAAGTGATCCTTCAGCAGACGTTAGCACCTACCCCCATCTTTCATCACTCAGGCTCCAATTCCCGTGCTCGAGCAGACATTACCAATCTACCAGGAGCCTGCAGAATGCTTTTAAATGCAGAATACCAAAAAGTCCCTACCAAGCAAGTACAGATGGGACAGGACGATGTCTGCTGAGCTGCCCTCATGATCCTCGTGTGTGGATGGCCACGCCTGGCACGGAGCCCAGCACTCAGCGGGTGCTGGGCAAGGGTTATGCACAGAAGAAATGGCATGGTGCCCCATACACTCGAACCTTTTGGAGCAGCTCTCGTCTTCTCTTAATTATTAATTTCTGGTGGAGTTTTTTCTTTTCCTGCTTTAAGTCATTGTCCAGCTTCTGTTTCACAGAGAAGACTTCCATCTGAACCCGTTCCAGCAGCATTTCCATCTGATCTTCGTCCAAGTACCCCGCCCTAGAGGGAAAGGACGAGAAGTCAGTGAACACAGGGTTGAAGCCCCCCAGCTTAACAGAGGTCGTGGCTGGACATCCAACTCCGTGTCAGTTTGGGCTGAATCAGAAGTCTTCACCCTCCAGAGACAGAAGGAGCAGCAACTGCACAGCTGAGCTGCTGGCAGAGTGCAGGCAGTGTCCTAAGAGATGGGCGGAGGGCTCAGGACAGGATAATGCACAAGGGCAGGTGCCTGGGAGAAGGAAACGGTGGGAGGGGGGGACCAGATGTACAGAGAGGATTTTCCAAGAGCAGCTGGTGGACCAGTGACGCAGGTGTCAGGAGCGACTCCAAGCAAGCCACGGAGGTGAATGTAGAATCATCCTGTGGGATGCTCAGTGAGACAGATCCAGACCCCCGGGGTCACTGGGGCTGTCCGTGGCAAGGTTTCCAGTTGATGTGAACTAGGGGACATGTGCATGGTCTCCTGCCCCCTCCAAGCCTCATGTTGACATTTATCTGGGAGTGTGAAGGCATTAAGTAGTGGGACCAAAACTCAAGAGGGGATTAGGGTGATGCTGCTATCCCAGGGTGGGCTAGCGAGGAAAGGAGGGAGTCTCCTACTCCCAGTGCTCTCGCCCTCCAATGCCTTATGCCATACTGGGATGCAAGGAAAGGGCCCTCAGCAAATATGGCCTCTAGTCTTGGACTTTCCAGACTCTAGAATTATGACACAAAGAAACTTCTCTAGTTTATAATTTACCCAGCCCACGGTATTCTGTAACAGCAGCAGCGAACTGACTGAAACATGTCAGTGTAAGCAGACTGCCCACCCTAACTGGGTTGCACCATCCGATATGCTGAGCTCCTGAGAAGAACAAGACAGTGGAGGAAGGAGGAACTGGCCCTTTCTTTTTGCCACCAGGCTCGTGGTGGGGCAGTCATATCTTCTTCTGCCCTCAGACAGGGTTTCATATCTTCAACTACCTGAGTTCTCAGGCCTTTGACCTGGATCCAGCTTCTCTGCATCTCCAGTTGTGAGAAAGAAGATGGTGGGACTTGCAGCCTCCTCAGCATCAGAGCCAACTCTTACACTAAGTACCCTCCAGCTCTCCAGGAAGTTCTGTTTTTCTGAAAGCTCTGCCCGGTGCACTCTGCTCTCGTCACCACAGCCTCCCATGGCCCGTGTGCACCCCTGGGCTACCCTTGGTCCCCAGGCTGGCACAGGGCCGACTCTCCACAGAGGCTCCCTGAGTGAAGGGTGGAGAAGTGGGTAGAACACGAGTTAGAAATAGAAGCCTGTGCCAGCCCTTCCAAGTAGGATCTAAAATTAGGAGGTAAGAGCTCTCCCTGGCCACAGCCGCCACAGGCAGCCAGCTGAGGGCTTCTTCGCTTCAAGCCCAGGAAGTGTTCTTTAACTGGTGTGCAGATCAGCCGGCAACGTCATGCAAACCACATGGCGGACCCCTTTGCATCTCGGGGGGAGCATTGCTGCTACTCGCACCTTAGAGCACCCCACTCAGTGGTGCACGAATCAGCACTCTTAATAAAGTGGTATGAGTTGTAGAACCAATTCATAAAACCACAGAACGGGGCTGGTGAGATGGCTCAGTGGTCTAAAGCACCTACTTAGAACAAGCTTAGCAAAGCACAGGGACCACGGTTCAATCCCCAGCACCACATGCCAGCCAGCCCCACCCCCTGGTGGGCTGAGCTGGCCACTCACACACACACACACACACACACACACACAAATAAATAAATAAAAAATTTTAAATAAATAAATAAAACCACAGAACGTCCTAAGAAAGCCAGCTTCAGAGTGAGGTTTCTGTTCATTCGACAGCTTCTTAGAACCTACTGCTTACAAGCAAGCTGTGACAAAAGGACCCCTGAGGGGGATTTGGGGGGCACTTGGAAGATCTGCCTTTCAGCAACATGGTACGGCCAATACCCCAAGTAGGAGGGGGACACTTCTACACTGTTGGGGGGAATGCAATCTACTACAGCCACTGGGGAGATCAGAATAAAGATTCCTTACAACATAAAAATAGAAATCCCATTGGGGGCCTGCGAGATAGCTCAGCAGACTAAAGCTCCTGCTCACGCAAGCCTAGGTAAGCATAGGGACAGTGGTTTGATCCCTAGTACCACATGCCACACCAGCCTTGCCCCCAGGCACACTGAGCCATCACAGAGTCTGGGTGTGGTGGCACACATCTGTAATCCCAGCGCTGGGGAGGCTGAAAACAGGAGGATCACTATGAGTCTGAGCTGCATAGTGAGATCCGGAAACAACCAAATACATTAAGAAAGAAAGAAAGAAAGAGAGAGAGAGAGAGAGAGAGAGAGAGAGAGAGAGAGAGAGAGAGAAAAGAACAAAACAGAACTTCCACTGGACCCAGCCATGCCTCTTCTGGATAAATTCCTGAAAGAGTTTAATTCATTAAATCGCAGTGACACCTGCCTATCCGCATCAGCAGCAGCACAATTCATCCCAGCTAAGTCTTGAAGCAGCCTAAACGCCCGTCAGCAGACAGATGGATGAAGAAAGTGCTATCTACAGTCAGGAAGGGGGATAAACTGGTTAAATATTTCATACTTTCTGTTTGATGAGAAACCCAAAACATAAATAATTTAAAAAGGAAAATAAAAGAGATGATGGGAAATGGGGAAATAGAATTTGTAGGGAAAGCAGAGCCAGCCAAATAGCTCAGTGGATTAAAGCTCCTGCAAGCAGGCGCAGGGGCCTGGGCTTCTATCCCTGGGCCTGCTGTGCCAGCCCCGCCCCCAGGGTGCACTGAGACAGCAATTGAGACTGGGCTTGGTGGTGCACATCTATAATCCCAGCTCTTGGGAGGCTGTAAACAGGCAGATCACTACAAGTCCAACCCAGCAGTGAGACCTCCTGCCTCAGCCTCCTGGATGCTGGGATTATAGGAGTGAAACTGGTGTTGCAAAGAGCTTTGGGGCTGGGGAAGCCCCTGAAAGAATGCAGCCAGAGCAGCCTGTGCACAGCCTGGAGCCCAGGGCAGGCGAGCGCGGCGCTTACCTCTCGTGCTTCTGCATGAGGTGGGTGAGCTGGGCGGCCGCGGTGCTCAGGAGGCCCTGCGCGCGGGCCTCCGTGGACTGCAGGTTCTGGACCAAGTACTCCCGGTGGCCAAACCTTTTGCTGAGATGGTACCGCTTAGTAGCCTGGAGGAAGTCCATTAGCTCTTCTAGGTTCTCCTGGTAAAAGATTTCATTGAAAATGTGTTTGCTAGGGCCAGGGAGATGGCTCAGTAGAATAAGTACTTCCCTGGCAAGCAGAAGGGCCTGAGTTCAATCCCCAGTTCCGAAAAAAAAGAAAGAAAGAAAGAAAGAAAGAAAGAAAGAAAGAAAGAAAGAAAAGAAAAGAAAAGAAAAGAAAAGAAAAGAAAAGAAAAGAAAAGGTGTTTGCTAATTTTGAAAAAAAAAATCCTTGAAAACTTTCAAATTTTCTATTCAGAAGAAAAATCACAGGCGCCAAAGCACAGGGATTAATACCTTTAAGTTCCCTGCTTGCACCAAAGACGCCTAAGACAATCACTTGCAAATAAGAGAAACACTTTGAAAAGTGGCCCCAGAGCCCACAAAAAAGAAATCCTGCCCACTAAACAGAAGGCAGTGCCACCCTCTGGTCATCACCCCACCTGGGGAGTTTCCAGTGCACTATGGAGGTGACACTGTGGGCGAGTAGGCTCCTGGCCCTTCTCTGAAGGAAACAAGACAAACAGGCACAGCTCAAAAGTGGCAGGAAGTTCCCTTGCACCTGTGCCATAGACCCAACCCGGCCAAGCACAGACATGAGCCCAAGCTGGCTCATACCAGCTGAGCGTCCCATGCTGACACTGAGCCAAGGACGCTCGTGCCTCTCTGTCCTCCTCTAGGCTCAGAGCTTTTTAATTCCCACTTCACAGATAAGGAAATGGAGTCTGGATCTCAGGGCTGGGAAGTGGCTGTGGACAAGCTGCTGCCCAGGCCCAGGACGGAACATCACCGTGGGGGGCCTCTGAAGGCCAGGCTACGGCTATGGCTATGACTGCCTCGCTGGCCTTGTCCTGTAGGTGGTTGCTGTTTTACTTTTCTGTCTGTGGAACAACTCTGCCCACAGGGACCATCAAGAAGACCAACATAACTTTGCAGGTAAAATTACTGATATTTATTAAAGTAAATATTTATTTTGAGTGTAGTATTACTGAAAAAAAATTTTGCAATTTTATAACAGAATTAAACAAAAATAACTTAAGTTAGTTTTTTATTATATGTAGTTAAACCTCTGTGTGTGTGTGAAAAATAGGGAGAAAGAGAAAGGATTTGAATGTTAAATTATTTTTGATGTGTATATAATTATGGATCTTTAAAACACACTTAAAAGAAAGTAGTGGAGTCTTTAATACAAATTGTGACTTTTCAGTAAATCAATGAAGTCAAAATTTTTGTGATTAATATACAATTAAAAAAAAAAGACCGACAGTAAACAATGAGAGGTCTGCGATGCCTGGACATCCTCCTTCCTACCTAACCGCTGCAACATCTCCAATACCAATGCTAAAGGGTTTGTGCCACTGAGACAGGGGAGGCTGAGTGTCGGTCAGATGCGGCTCCAAACCCAAACTCCCTGGGGCTTCCTGCACCAGAACCAACATGAGGAACAGAAGGGGACCCCCAGGCTGGCTCATCAGAGTGACCACACAAAGAACTCAAGAGATGGAATCCAAATGCTCTGATGGCTGAGGTCAGGGACGTCCAAGCCTCTGAGCCTGTATCACCTTATGTGACCTCAATACCTGGGGACTCATCGTCAATTGGTTCCAGGAAGACGGAACCAATTATGGCAAGCACCAAAACCAAACAGCACACAAATCATTTGGGCTGCCAAGGGCTAGAGGCAGTCAGCACCCTAGACTTGTAGCTTGAGCTGTGAGTTCCAAACAGAGGACAAGATTTTCACATCAGTGCCCCTTGCTCTGTCTCAGCCCTGCGTGGCGGGCCTCTACCAAGGCACCAGCCACACTGCCCCAGGAGGACACATGCCAACCTGATGAATGCTAAGCGCAGCGAACTCACTGCTGGGGCCTGCACACACTCACACATGCACACACACACGCGTGCACACCCACACCCACATGCACACACCAAAGGCAAGGGCACGCATTCCGCACCTCCTCCAGCTGGTCTTCACTGCTCACAATCGCTCTGGCATTAGCAGTGGCTGAGGCTGGGCACACTGTGCTTCACCTGGCCAGACACAGCTTGTTCTCACATGCTAAACCTGCCCTGCTAAGGCACCTGGGGAATCCCAGGGAAAATGTGCCACCAGGCCTTTGTGATATCTTTCTTTGTAAACATAGACAAACAGGCAGCTGCATGAAACAGCGGGCCACAGAGCACGCGACTCCAACCCCACAGACACAAGTGCCACACAGTGAGCCAGGTGCCCGCGTCCCCAGAGGGCCTCTGCTGCTTCATACACTTACTGCTCACTAGCCAGGGTGGGGGTGACCTCTGCGCCCCTGAGACATCCACTCACAGTCAAAACACAAAGTTTCCACAGCAAAGGAGGAATTCACTCATGAGAGCGCTGTACCACCTACAGCAAGCTGAACACCACCCGGCTAAGTGGCGAAGGACACTCCTGCACACCAGCGCCTCCCGTGTGCACATGCACGCGACCTCATGGGACATGCCACGGCCACACAGCCACTCAGAAAAGCCGCTTTCATCACCAACTAGGAATTTTTTCAGGCTGGATTAAAAATATTCACACATTAGGGCTGGGGAGATAGCTCAATAGTCTAAGTGCCTACCTGGCAAGCACAAGGACTCAGGTTCGATCCCTGGCACCACATGGCGTGCCAGCCCTGCACCATGCCAACCACCAAAACCAGGCATTGTGGTGCATGCCTGTAATCCCAGCACTGGGGAGGCTGAGACAGGAGGATCACTACGAGACCGAGCTGTGTAGTGAGACCCTGTACCAAATAAATAAATATAAGTAAATGATTTTTTTTCTTAATTTAAAAATATTCACACTGAGCCTAGGTGGGAAAATACACATAAGTTGACCCACCCGTATGTAGACACCGATCCTAAGCCCAAGGCCTGCACACCAATATGTACACACATGCGTGTGCATAGCTATGGGTTTTTACCACCATGTACACTAAACCATCTAGTGCCGGACACTGACTTTTAGGGGTGGGCTGATTGAGCGTGCATCACACCTCTGAGCGTGAGGCCTCTGAGCGTGAGACCTCTGAGCCTGAGGCCTCTGTGTTACATACTACACAGCAGAGAAGTGGGGAATTTGCTCGGGTTCACACAGCTGACGGGGATGCAGGGCTCCACTGGTGTGCCAAGCCGTGTGCCCGTGTGCTGGAAACAGCCCCGCATCGGGAGGTTGGAGGAGAGCAAGTTAACTCAGTGGTGTCTCAGGGAAGGGGAGGCAGCAATCAGCTCTGGGAGAGAATCCCACAAGCATTGGAGAACACGCCGCCATCACGGCGGCCTGAAATGGGCGTTACCTGGAGCTTGGAATAATCTTCCAGCAGCATTTTAGCTGCCTCTGGCGTCAGTTCCCCTTTGAAAATTGCATTCTTTATCTGGGCAAAAAAGATGTCATGCAATTCATTTCTCTGGAAAATGGTGAGCTGCCTGCGAGCCTGGGCAAAGTCCTCCTCCTGGTGCAAAGCCAAGGACCTCCACAAGTGCTCCTGCTCCAGGCCATGCAGGGTCTGCAGGAGGCTGCTGTACTCTGTGGCGGACTGCAGAGAGAAGAGGCAGTACGTGAGACAGACACGCAAGTGTGCGCATGCGTAACACATGCCCCGTGTGCACACGCATGCGCACACTACAGAACCACACATGCAATCGACCAACAGCGCATTTGATATGCTCATTGTCCAGAGCGCATCCACGCAGAGCACTTGCATGCAGTGTACAGATGCACGCGGGCACAAACCTCCACATGTCAGCGTGTGTGTGCATATGTATGCACACTCACACACACACCCTCAGGTAGATACATGCATACCTGTGCAGACATGGAACACACACACACACTGCCACACTATGCATGCACACGGGAACACAGATGACCACAGGAACAAAGAGCAGACTCACACAGAACACATACACATGCACATACCCATCCAAAGCTGCAGAGGGTAGAGGCTGCAAGGCCTGGGAAGGGGCCGGTCCGTCCCACATGCTCCCCCACTGTTAACTGACTATTTTCCCAGAACAATCACGAAGCAGGAAATCCATCAGGGTAGAAATCTGCAAATCAAAGTGCCTGCAAGAGCCTACAAAAACTGGAAATCTCACTTAAGTATCAAGGGGTCCTGCAGCTAGTCACACAGGATTATTTCCACCCTCTTTCATCCTCAACCTCCTTGAAGATAAAAATACCAGCAATCAAGTCCAAGCTGGGATCCTGGGGTAGAAAGGGCCACGCAGTGCTGAGAAACGGCCGGCTGGCCTCCTGCATCTTACACCGCCTGGTATAAGGACAGAGAGAAACACACCCCTGCTCAGCTCCCGATGTGGCCATGTCAGAGGGGAGGCAGGATTCTAAGGTGACCTCAGGATTCCCGCCCTGCACTGGTGTGCACAACACGGTGAGTCTCTCTCTCCCTGGAGTGTGGGGATAGACCTGAATCTGTTAGGCTGTGGCACGATATTGTGTCACCCTTTCATCAGGTTATATTTCAAGGCAAGTGAAGGCCTCCTAGCACGTGAGTAGGTCCTTAGCTGTCTGGGCTACTCAGGGGGAAGCCACCCAACGTTAGTGTTTGCCTCAGCTACAATAGGTCTTTTACTAACGCTGGTTTAAAAAGAAAAAAAACTGTAGGGTGACTGTTGTACTTTCTCAGTCACCCTACTGCAGGGACTTGGTATTTAGCAGGCGACTTGAGCCAAAGGAAAAAAAGCAGTTCACCAACAACCACGAGGCCGTCTGGACCCTACTGGCTGCAGGGGAGCAACTGGCGCTCTGGGCCCCAGCAGCCAGCAAAGAGGCCTTTCTTCGCTGCCTGAATTTGAAATGCTCAAGCCTGAATTTATTTTAATTAATAGGAATAAACGGTGGAGCAAACGTGTTTCATTTCTCATAGCCAAGACCACAAAGACACACACACATAAATCCTAAAATAAAATTTTCCATCGTGGTTCATCATTGTACTTCTGCTAAAAGATACAGCACGAGGCAATGAAACATGTTGGATGCGTGTCGCAGTGAAAGGCTCCCTAGGCAGCCCTGGGCAGGACCCTCTGCCGTGTCAATTTCCAAACAGCCACCCTGTAAGAGAAGCCCTAAAGGGGTGTGCTCAGCCTCCGCCTTCTTCAAAAGCTGGCAACACAGGCGGCAGCCCCGAGTCCCAGCAGGGAGGTCGCACAGAGGGAGGGAGATGCCTGGAGGGCAAGGGAGCAGAGAGGCGACAGCAGCAGAGCGCAGACAGCAAGCACAGCCCTGTCATCCCAGCAAGGGAGGCCCTGCAGAAACACAGGCCCAACACAGCCAAAGCACCCCCTTTTCCCAAAGAAGAGGCGATTTGTAACATAAACCTTTCTACTTTAATCACCCTCCTGTGTCCATTTCTAAAGCAGAGCTAACACAGCGGGGGCGCTGGGGCCAGGGAGCCTCCGGGAGGGGAGGTGTGGGCACACACACTTGCATTCTGGTCACACAGCCTGAGTGGCTGTCCCAGGGCAGCTGCCGTGCATAATGCTGACTGCGCACCTTTGGAAAATGGGAGACCGCACGGGAAGTTATGACGGCGCTAAATTACGCTCCTTGTGCTCAATTTAGCAAGACAGGCAAATTGTAAAACTGTTTTATAAAAATAAATCCATCAGAGATAGTTAAAAGGGAAGAGTTCCCAGGCATAAGAATTTGCCTTTAAATTGCGCAGGGAGTGAGGAAGCCTCAGGCAGCTGTGTCAGGAGGCAGGCGCAGCCTCCAGGCCTTAGGACAGAGACCCAGAAGGGAGCACCGCCTATGTGCTAGTGAGAGGCCACGGGATGAGAGGCCACGAGATGAGAGGCCGTGGGAAGCCAGGCTGTAAGACCTTGCCCACCTCAGGCTCAGCTCTCCCCTCAACATGGAAATACACTGTTTTCTCTGACTGCTGTACAGCCCAGACTTTAAAAAAAACAAATGATATGATATCATGAATCAGCAAGCCACTGGCAAGGCTGATGTTGTTGCTAAGCATTAAGAGTTCACATTTTAGCTGATGCAGAAAACGAGTGAATGAATGGGGTACCATGCAGTATTTCAAAGCATGTCACCATTATGAAGCCTTAAATCAGATGCAACAAACCCAGCTCTTCATCTGCTGGGCTGCAAACTTTCAAAGTCCTCTAAGACACGCAGTTCATTTTCATCTTTTGTAGCCACTGCAACACCGCCAGAGCTTCCGCACCTGGGATGGTGACTCAGAGCCCTTTGGCAGCCTCTCCCATCCCACTGAAGTTCTTTATAAACACAAACTTATTTCTCAAAATAGCCCCAAGACAGCCCCTGACATCCCCACATTCAGGAGAGGGAAAGGACACTGGGGAGACCGCCTGTGTGCCTTCCCCAGTATGAAGGGGCGGTCAGAGCCCAAGCCAAGTCGATGTCCTGGCTGGCCTGCGCCCTTCCGGCAGAGACAGGTTTGAAAGCCATACAGAGCAAAATAAAGGAGAATATGAAAGAAGACAGAGCTTTGGCAAACAGGAAGAAAACAGATGGAGGGAGAAGGGAGGGTCCAGAATGATTGCAAGGGGAGTGGGATTGTTAAGGTTGCATCAGATGTCCCACTAGAGCCTCATGGCCATGGGAAGGGCTCTGCAGAGGTGGCTGGATCTAGGGCGTGACGCTGCAGCCTACACAGTTTGCTCCTCGGAGCAGAGGTAGCGCTAACTCTGCTCTGCAGACCTGGTGCTTCAGGTCATCTTCACAGAGCAAAAGCCCGGGATGCACTACAGATGCCCAACAGAACGGGCCAACACGGTGTGTGCAGCGCAGGGACAGTGCCGCTGTGTAGTGCAGGGTGGCTGTCAGGCACAGTGGTCAGGGGCAGAGTGCCTGGGTCAGCGTCCCGCCTCCACTCGAGGACCTGGACTACATCCCTATGCCACTGTTTCCTCGCTGCCAAAGTGGAATTCTGCTCATACAGCATGACAAATGCCCTAAGTAAACGCAAGCTTCTAGCTTTGCATATTTTTGAGAGGGTTTAATAAAATTGAAATTAAAAAAAAAAAAAAAAAAAAAAAAACTGTTCATGCTGTGACCCAAAGGGAAAACAGGCAAGACACAGATGTGGACGGCATGAAACACACATGCTAATGCGGACGCACACGCGGACACATACGCAGCACGAGGCTGGGAGGGACGCAGGAATGTGCGGCAGTGGGCACCAGCCACAGCACGGACCCCGGCGACCCGCAGCAGGAGGGCGCTCAGTGCCCCAACGCACGGGTCGCGTTTCACTGGACTTTTCTTTTTTTCACATTTCTGACCTTCTAGGCTTCATTGGCAAACTTTTCTTTCTTTTTTTTTTTTTTTTTTTTTTGTGGAACCAGGGCTTGAACTCAGGCCCTTGCGCTTCTGGCAAGCACATATTCCACTGAGCCATCTCCCCAGCCCTGGCAAACTTTTCTGTAGAGAGTTGGATCAGTCTTCCAGCCTTTATGGACCACGGGAGGTCTCTCTCCCACTCTTCACTGGCTCTTGCTTGGTCCAGCTTCCGGTGGCTCCAAATTCTCTCAAGGTGATTGAGAGTCTCACGACTCTTTTAAAATGTAAACCTGTCCTCGGCGCTGGGTCACATGGAAACACCCTGCGCCGGCTGGGCTTGTGGACGCTCAGCGGCTAACTGCTCCTCTGCGCCCTGGAGCACGTACAAGCTACGCAGAGAAAAACCTTAACAAATTAGGAAAGGGAGAGGTGGTGGGACGGTTCAGGGCTGAGCCCGAAGGGTGCTCCCCGCACTCCCCCCAAGAGCCAGGCCTGCACTTGGCTGACTGGTGTGTCCCCAGGTGCCTCCCCTCTGAACCCGTGAGCTCAGCCTCATTTGGAAGAAAGGGCTTCACTCCGACGATGCTGTTATCTTGGGCTATGTGGATGGCCCGAGGCCTAATGGAACTGGGCAAGGCCTAGGTCCAACGGCAAGGGTCCCGCGGCAGAGGAGATAGGGCCCGGGAGAAAGGCCGTCTGAGCTGGAGCACAGGTGAGAGTGATGCGGCTTCAATCACCTTGAGAGAACTGGGAGCCACCGGAAGCGGGACCAAGCAAGGAAGAACCCTCTCCTCGGGACTCAGGCAGGGCGCAGCCCTGCCCAGTACATCCTGATGTGGGCCTCTGGCCTCCGGAGCTGGGACAAAGCTAGTGCCCGTTCCTTAAAGGCACCAATCAATGGTAATTTCTTCTGCCGGCCACAGGAAACTAATACCAACACCAAACAGTACCCAAAACAAGATCCCACTGTGGCAAGGCAGGGCCCAGCTGCAAGCAGACAGGTGGGGGACAGAGGAGGTCACCTCTGTTCTTTACTGCCCAGCCCATGTCTGACAGATGACCTCCTGTGATCCACGAACTGCCACCCTGATGAGAGATCACCAGCTTCTGGGAAGCCCCGTATTTGGCCGGCAAGAGGGACATAGATGCTGAGCTCAGAAACTTGCTCCTAAACAGCTGTCAGGCCTCTTTCCAAAGGCAGGGGTCCAAAAAGAACCCGCAGACTTATGGCACAGAGACTGAATGAGCCGTCTGTCCTGTGAGGAAATCAGGAGGCGGGTGTTGCAGTCGATGTACGCGTCAACTTGGGGGCTAGAAGCTTAACTAAGTGACGCAGCAGCCCACATCCTGGGATGTAGAGGGCGTGCTGTTGCCTCTAGGGTGTCGCTCGCTGTGTTTAGAAGGGTAACTAAGTGACTCGGGGGGAGCCAGGGTCCATACTCTGTACTCATCCTGAGCCTGTGCAAGCGGAGGGCTCGGAGAGACGGTGTGGGTGCCACGCCATCCCTGGGTGGGGGCAGCCTGCTTCCAACACAAGAGAGGAAGACGCTTGCTCTCCCCCCCCCACTTTTGTTCTTGCTGCTCCTGCCACCTTCTGCCACCTTGAACTGATACCCCGTGCCTGCCACCCCGTCAGGAAGCCAGCTGGTTACAGACCGAAACTCCACAAACTGAGCTACATAATCCTCGCCTGCCTTAATTTTGGGTGTGGGGTACTTTGTCTCAGCCAGGACAGAAAAACAACCAAGACACCAGGCTTGCCTGGCTCTGGCATTCCAGGGCCTCTCTGCTTTTCCCAAGGCAGTGATGGGCACCTCCTTCAAAAGACAGAACATTCTGTAGAGCCGGTTTGGTGCTCATGAGCTTCTTCCATCGTTTTTGTCATGGAAGCATCTCATTTCTCCACTAATTCTGAAAGACAGTTTTGTAGGATGGATCAGTCTGGGTTGGAAGTTGTGTTTTTTCAGGACTTGACATAATTCACTTCAAGCACTCCTTGACTTGAGGATTTATGTGGAGAAGTCTGCTGTGATTCTGATGGGCCTTCCTTTATAGGTGATTTGTTTCTTAACAGTTTTTAATATTCTGTCCGTGTACTTAATCTCTGGAATCTTATATGTCTTGGTGTAGATTTATTTTGGTCATGGCTAATTGGATTTCTATATGCCTCGCTTATAAAAATGTATGTCTAATTCATTTTCAATGCTTGGCTAGTTTTCTGCCATCACTTCTGTGAACCCGTTTTTTATGTCCTTTTGTGCTGACTCCTGCTTTTTCATCGACTCTGACCAGCCTTATGGTGTTCATTTCTTCATCATCTTGAAGTTGTTGGATTTTTTCTCATGGTCCCTTGCTAATTTTATTTTTTATTTTAAAGAGAATAAAAAACAGTAATACCTACGCAGAACTTGAAAACAAGATGAAAGGAAATGAACAATGGTTATCATACTGCATATTATAATTGCTCAGATTACTAGCTGTGGGCATTTAGAATTGATCAAACAATATAAACCCTAACTGTTCTTCCTTGCTAATTTTAAGAGATGTTTCTTTTCATTATCAATTACTGTGATATTATCTTCTAAGCCTGATATGCTGTCTTTACTTTCATTCATTCAATTTTACAAACCTTCAAAGGAATTTTTAATCCCCTGGATATCTATTTGAATCTGTTTCATGGATTCTGTTTCTTTCTTATGTCTGGCCAAAATTTTACTATGCCCCTCTATGTTTTGATCTATACTCCAGATTTTACTGAGCAAGTCCTTCATTACAGTCATATTCTCTCCGTCTGTCTGTCTGTCTGTCTGTCTGTCTGTCTCTCTCTCTCTCTCTCTCTCTCTCTCTCTCTCTCTCTCTCTCTCTCTCTTTAAAGGACTATTCCTGGCTCCATTTTCCCTATAGCCTCACACAGATGTGTTTTACTTCTGCTGCACCATTTCAAAATATTTAGGTGGATGTTTTCTGATTTCTTCTCTAATGTCTCCTGGATTTGTTCTAGGTAGGTTAGAGGCCTGGGGTTGCATTTTGCTTATTATTTTCTATTTTTAAACTTTTATTTTATGTATGGCTGTTTGTGTTTTTCTTATATTAGATAGCTCTATTGCTGGCATCAAGCCTTCTCTAGGAAGTGTCTGTTCCTCAGAGCTGCCTAGCTGGCTCTTGGTCTTTGTGTCTATCCCAAGATTCTAGCTCACCACTTTATTAAAGCTGGACAATTGCTATCTCTTTGGCTCAGCATTCAGTCCCCTGGTAATGGGCTACAGGCATGGTCATGACCCCAGACAATCACAGTGTTGTCATGCAAGGGTGAATAACTGATTACAGCAGGAAAGGCACGGCCCAGAAAGTGCCAAGCTGTGGCAGCTGCTGATTTGGCATTTCTAACCATAGGAGCAAGATCTATACCTACATGACAACATCCAAAATAAAGCATAAATTGAAAAAGATCAGATTCCCCCCCCCCAGAATAAATTAAAAGGCACAATCCAAAACTGGGCATCTTAGATCGATATACATTTCTCAGGTGAAATACAAATGGCAAATAAATATATCAAAAAAAAAAATTCAACCTCACTGTGGTTATTCAACACATGCAAATTAAAATAACGCTGAGATTCCATCTCACTCTAGAAAGAATGGGTACTATCAAGAAATCATCTAATAACAAATTCACGCTGGACTATGGGCGAAAAGGAATCCCGCAGCACTGTTGTTGGGAATGTGAATGGATACAACCAGTGGAAATCAGTGTGCAGAGTCCTCAAAAAGCTAGGCTCCAGGTCCCATTTGACCCAGCTATTCCCCTTCTTAGAATCTTCCCAAAAGAATTAAAAGCATCATACCACAGCAATGCATGCACACCCATGATTATAGGGCCACAGTTTGTAACAGCTAAATTTTGAAACACCCTAAATGTTCATCATCCAATGAATGGATAAAGAAAATGTGAGGGTTTTCTATATATATATATATAGTGGAGTATGACTCTGCCGTAAAGAAAGATGACCTTGAGCCATTTCTTTAGAGCTAAATGACATGCCTTTAGAGCTACATGGATGCACCTTGAGACCACACTCTCAAGTACATTAAATTAGATACATGTGAAAGTATCACACTGTCTCTCTGGTATGAGAAACTGAAAGTACAAATAAGAATCAAAATATATAGTAGCCATTTGAAATAGGCAGAGTGGTCCAAAAGCAAAGGGGAACTAGACAGAGGAGAAGGGGAGAACGATAAAATGGAAACAAAGCTTTGTAAACAAGGAGGGGAAAAGAGCAAAAGAGCAGAGGGGAAAAGAGCAGAATGGGAAAAAAGGACTCAAGGTACATCACGTACAGGTAAATGTTCCTTGTGATGAATGTGACTGCTGTATATCTCAATTGGGAAGGAAGGAAGGAAGACAGGCAGACAGACAGACACAGCTGCAGCTGCTCACTGGCCAGCACAGGCCAGCCGTGGGTACTTACTGCCCAGCACTCTCAGAACTGAGCATGCATGCTGAGCACCACCTGCAGCTGGGCCCTGGTGGCTGCTCGTTCTGTATTCCTTCTCCCAGCCCAACTGACAGGCACTGTCAGACTTTGATAGCTGCACCAGGCCTTCAAGATCAGAACTACAGAAAGTGGAGTCCAGTTTGTCTGACCCCAGATCTCTGGGGGTGAGAACTGTGGTTTAGCAGACTGTAGTCCCAGGACAGATCTGCATCCTGATGTCACCACCACCACCTGGGAGCCACTCCCTCTGCAAACAATGCTGTTCCACTCAGCCCAGGACCTCCCACAGCACCACAGGACACTCTCCATTGTAATACTGGTCATGTTTCCTTGGTGAAGATCCTTGGTTAGACTATTAAGTCTTGAACACAAGAACTATGTCACATTTTACTCAGTACCTACAGGGCCTACCCTAGAGGTCTGTGTGATCAATAAATGTTTGCTAAATAAATCCAGGATAGATGGATGGATGGATAGATGAATGGATGGATGGATGGATGGATGGATGAATGGATAGATGGATAGATGGATGGATGGATGGATGGATGGATGGATGGATGGATGGATGGATGGAAAGATAGATGAATGGATGGATGGATGGATGGGTGGATGGATAGATGAATGGATGGATAGGTGGATGGATGGATAGATGGATGGATAGATGAATGGATGGATGGATGGGTGGATAGATGGGTGGATGGACGGATGGGTGGATAGTTGTGTGCATGGATCTCAGAAGAAATGAGGCACCTGAATGCCTTTAGAGCTGCCTCACCCTCTCATTAACACGTTTCAGCAACTCTTCTGCCTCCTCCATGGCCGCCATCTCCTTCTGGTACTGGCTTTCTGTCTTCTTTCTTGCTTCCAGGTCACATTCAGCAGTCAGCGCCAACATCTTACGGTCATACTCTTCTCGCACCTCATTTTGTAACAACAGGAACTGTTTCGTCAAAACAGAAGCTATCCTCCTGTCCACCTGTGGGGAGAGGTGGCCTCCAGCGCTCAGACTTCTCAGCAGCAGGCCAACGATATCCTTGCTGATTTGGGTCCGACAAGCCTCCAGATCTGCATCCGCCCGACTCAGGGTTGCAATCTCCAACCTGGGAAGCACAGAGATCAAAAGGGCTCTATCGTATGAAGCCACAAGGGAGACCCGCGTCCCTCGACCTCCCACACTTGGCAGAGCAGGCTTTCCTTTTCTCCTTCCCTTCTTTCTCTCTTTTCCTCTCTCCCTTCTGCCCCCTCTACCTATTGAAGGCCAGTCACTGAATTAGCAGATTTTCACCCTACAAAGTAATTTTGTAAGGTAAGATGCCAGGAATGACAGGGACAGAACAAACAAGAGCTTTGTCAACAAGTCAACAATAACTAGGAGACCAAGAGAGAGCAGGAGGGCTAATATATTTGAAGGATTTAAAAATAAAATTTTAAGGGCCAGCGACATAGCTCAGCGGACTAAGCACTTGCTTATGTAAGCACAGGGGTCAGGGTTCAATCCCTGGCACCACAAACCACACCAGCCCTGCCCCTGGGCGAGCTGAGCCAGTGACGGAGTCTGGGCTTGGTGGGACACGCCTGTAATCCCAGCATTAGGGAAGCATAAATCAGGAGGATCACTATGAGTCCAAGCTGCATAGTGAGACTCTGCATAAAATTAATAAAGTTTTAGTTTCTTCCAGTGAAAAAGTAGTTTCCAGATATGACAGCTAAATGTAATGTTATATCCTGAATGAGATCCTAGAGCAGAAAAAAAGAGAACTGAACTAAAATCTAAAGCAATCGACACAAAGCCCGGACTTTCGGTAGTAACACTGTACGGACATTTGAGTCATGAGCTGTGACATGCACCAGTACTGTTTGGACCTAAAACGCCCCCCACACTCAGCCATCGATGAGTTCAGGGCTGGCTGTCTGCGAGGGGGTGGGCCCGACTGCAGGCCCCGGGTGTGGCTTCCTCACATGGGCAGGTCCTGTACGGCCCGTCCTCTCTCCGTGGCTGGCATCTCATTCTCTTTCCTCCCCCACACCCTCTGCCACGATGTTTCTGTCTTACAGCCAGCCGGCCACGGACTGAACCTCTGAAACAACAAGCCAGCTCTTCCTCATTTAAGTTGTGTACATCATATATTCTGCGCCAGTCCTGGGAAGCTGACGAATAAACGGGCCCTATTAATGTGAAATATTAATAACAGGGAAGCATGGATAAGGGATGCATGGGAGTTCTCTGTGATCATCTGAATTTTCCTCTAAATTCAACTCTGGTCCAAAAATAAAGTATACTTGCCAACAGTATGCGATATTACAACCACTGTTGGATTCATATCATCTTGTTTTTTGATATTTTTGTATCGTTTTTAATTGTTTTTATTATTTTTTTACTATCTTTAAAATAATTCCCGGGGCTGGTGAGATGGCTCAGTGGTCTAAAGCACCTACTTAGAACAAGCTAAGCAAAGCACAGGGACCACGGTTCAATCCCCCAGCACCACATGCCAGCCAGCCCCGCCCCCTGGGGGGCTGAGCTGGCCACACACACACACACACACACATAAATTTAAATAAATAAATAAATAAAATAAAACCAATTATAATCAATAGAAGTTAATAAAGATCAAAAGATGAAAAAATATACTTGAAAAATATTGATGAGATTCTCCACAGGGCCGCAGCATCTAAAGCAACTGTGGCAGAGGTGGCTGGACCCTGCACACTTGCAGTACACACCAGACTGTCCTCATAATAGGTGAGGCTTAGGGCGTCCTACTAGACTTCTATAAAAGCTAGAAAAAAACTGGTGTCCGTGAATTTTAAAGCCTGGAAAATAAGGAATATAGAAAAAGACTTCCTTTCCTGTGGCTCCACCATGGAACTACAATCCATGATGGCATTTTTTTTTTTTTTTTTTTTTTGGCAGAACCGGGGATTGAACTCAGGCCCTTGTACTTGCCAGGGAAGTGCTTATTCTACTGAGCCATCTTTCCAGGCTCTCATTTTGCTTTATTCTTTCAGTGTTTCTTTTCATGAATGAAGTTTCCATGAATGTACACTATTTGTATAGTTGTGTGTAGCACAACTATATCCTCCTTTTCCCAGTCAGCATGGCAACAGGCGTCTCTAAAACTCCTTCCTCTACAATGGCCGCAGGACAGCCTCCCACTGCTGCGTCACCGCCCCACCAGCCACTCCTCTACTGCACATTCAGGGTGCCTGCAGATTGCAAAATCGCAAACGACCATGAAGCACACATCATTATGCGGCGCTTTTGCTATTCCCAACAATTTCCTCTGTACAGAATCCCACAAATGGCCTCACAAGGGCAAAGAGGAGCACCATTTTAAGTCCATTAAAAGCCAAATTGCCTTCTGCAAGAGCCACCCAGTGAAGCATTAAATCCTTGCCTTATCCCACTGTCTACACAGCTAAAAAACTTCAATGATCTGATCAGAGAAAATGGCATCTACTTGTAAAAAATACAAGACTTCAAAGAAACTTTTACAGCAATTTTAAGCATTTAAGAGTGCCATAGTGTCTAAGTGCCTGCGTAGTACGCGCAGGACCCCGAGAGCCTCACGGCACCGGCCCGCCTCAGGCGCACTGAGCCAGCCACCAAGATCGGGCATGGTGGCGCACGCTTATGATCCCAGAGCTGGAGAGGCTGAAACAGGAGGACCACTCTGGGTCTGAGCTGCGTAGTGAGACCCTGTGCCAAACACATAAAAATTAAAAAATGAATAAATAAATGTGCTATACTATTTAAAAGTGATAATAGTATTACTCTAGCATTACCTGCTTTAAAAATAGTCCCTGCTCGTAGTTTATCTGCTTCTTTCGACGTGTTCTGGAGCACTTTAAAGCACACTGATCATCCTACCTGCAAACATCTCAGCGCGCATCTTTAACTGTCAGGGAGGGAGGGACAGAGGCAAGCAGGAAGACAGGCAGGTCGGCGCGGGGCAGACGCACGTGTCCGCACACCTCTTCGCCTAACCCTGCCGCTAGGAGGCTCAGAAAACAGCTGCCCGACATGCTCTGCGCCGGCACATGTTAAGTTAAAAGCACTTCAGAACCAAACACAAGCAGGTGCGAGATCAGCCGACCTTCGTGCTGTGTCTGAAGAGCAGCAGATAAAACTGTCACGTGAAATCAGGGCAGCAACCTCAATCATCAGCTGGGAAAACTGAGACCAGGAGAATTCTGTCCACACAGACATTGTTAAAATAATTCCCACCTTTCTTTAGAATCCCCACACCGTTTAGTTGCTTTTTAACACCTCGCTATTCTCCATCCAATTGGAACTTAATCTCCAAACCCACAAATACCCTCAGCTCCAGGCAGGGAGAGGAAGGTGGCAGTGCAGCCAAGGCTGCCCATCAGCTGACCCTGACGCAAGGCCAATAGCAAAGCTTTACAACGAGAGGAGGCAGAAGAGGTGTCGCGTCGCAGAAGGGTGAGAGGAAGGAGCCAGAGGGGGGGCAATGGCCAGCGGTGCGGGCAGAGCAGGGCCCCAGACACAGCCAGAAGCCAGCAGGCACAAGGAAGAGGGTCCCTGGAGGTGACACATGGCATCAGCCTGGAGAGGCCGCTTCAGACTGTAACTCCCAGAACTAGAAAACAAGACACCTGTGCTGTCCACGCCACCAAGCTCGTGGCATTTGTTAGTGAACAGGAGACTCACCTGGCCACTCCATCATCACTCCTTCCTCTGTCCATTTAACAACCTCCCGGGGCAACCCGGCGGCCGCTCTCAGGCTTCCTGCCCAAGCAGTGAACAGCCAAAGAACCTCAGGACAGGATCTGGCTTCCCCGAGAATAACGGGGAACCACCCTCCAAGTGCGGAGCAGGGCTTACAGTCTAAGCCGCTCAGCACAGTCCGCCAGGCCGAGGGCTCTACGGAACCGTTTCCATCTTTCCTTGCTCCCCCAGCATGGTGGGGCTGGAATGGCCACCGCCCACAACCTGCCCTTCCCCCAGCCTGGGAGGCCCACCCCAGAGCCCCCAAGGCAGGAAGCCTCCCTGTAAGCCAATTAAAATCCCACGCTATCGATGACGCTCTCTGCTGTCTATTTCTCAAATGGCCTCAGAGGAACAAATAAATGTGAAGAATTCAGCAACTGCATACAGGATGAGGTTCGCGGCAAAGAGCCAACTTTCTATCGCCCCCCCCCCCCCCGCATGGTATTTTTTAATTACAATGAAATATGACGGGCAAAAATATGATGTTTAAGGTTTTAAAAATTATCACAGTAAAAGACACCGCACCGTTGTGTCCCTGTAAGCCTTCCCGGTCACCTCAGCCCTGCTCATTCCACCGCCCCCGCCCCTTTCTGAAGCAACTCCGTAAGTCGTCTTCAGTTGTACTGTCACTGTTGTCTTCATGTTCTAATCAATTAAGAACATTTATATGTCACGGTCATTTTGACTTGGAGGGAGAGCCGGAAGTCACACTGCAGCAGACCCAGTGAGCTACAAGGACGCACCGCCACCCTGACAGAATCTGCTGCTGAAGCTCAGAAGTGACTCAGGACACCCAGGCAGCCATAACAGCGCCATGAAAGACATCCAGGAAAGAGGATTTCCGGAGTTGCTACAGGAAGCGGCAAGAACAACAGGATAAGTGTGAAGCGAGGAGGAGTGTTTTGAGGGGGTGTGACATCAATTTATCTTTTACTATAAGTTTTTGTTGTTGTTGTTGCTGGTTGGCTTTCACTTATTTTTTGGTGTCAGAGATCGAACCCAGGCCTTGCACTCGCCAGGCAGGCACTCATACCGCTGAGCTATCTCCCCAGCCGTTGAGACAAGGGCTCCCTTCGTAGTTCGGTTTGGGCCTAATCCTACCTTGTAGCCCTGTGTGGCCTCAAACTCGAAGCTCCTCCTGCCTCAGTCTCCTCAGTGTTGGAATTACGGGCGTGCGCCACACACCTGGGTATAGAAGTATAAATCCCCCCATGTGTTGGTGACACTCCAGACACATAAGTAAGTCCAACTTTCAAACACTCGTGTTGCAAACTTTCACAGATGTACTGCGTAAGACTCCCTTTGTCAGCTGACAAATGAATGTAATAATTCTCCCAGAATGAAATTCGTTCACAAGTTGGGGAC